AAAAAATTACATGATTTACGTCAAAATGCATTACATGAGGATGAAAGTGAAGAACGTCAATCAAACAATGAAAATGATGAAAATACCGTTAGTTCAACAACAACAAACGAAAACAAAGATGGGAAAACAGAACTGGTAACGACAACAAATGATGAAAATATTATAGGCGATGATACACTCGATCATAAAACTGTTCAACAATGTGATACAACAGACGAGAAACAAAACATAGTTCCGCGAACAGCAACAAATGTAGATGTTTCAACCACAAAAACAAACGTAAGTGATCGAATAATCCTATGAACTATCCCATTGATTAAATCATATGATAGGTTTTGGAAAAATTTATTTTGCTGTATTAAAAATCATTTTTTTCTTAGGACTCAACTGAGCAACCATCCTCAAGTGGTGTTTCATCTGTCAGTACTCCAAGTAACTCAAGTCGCCTGAAAAAACCATCACCAAATCCGAAAGCATCGTCAACAATGACCGTACCCACCACAACATCTTTGACACATCATTTGCTCGAGGACTCAGAGGATTTTAATGTGGAAGAAGAGGAAGATGATGAAGAATTTGAGTAAGACTTTCGTTTCATCTTCTCGCTTAACGGAGAATTTTACAATAGAAAGTTGAAGAACAGTCGAGTAGAGATGGGCGAGTCACCACTTTTTCGAGTCCGAGTCGAGTCCAGGTTCGAGTCCGAGTCGCATAAAAAATTCTAGTGAAAGTCATTTTCTAGTGGTAGTCTTCCTCTTGATTCATTTTTTCAAAACAGCTTACTACTCATTGCTGTTGTTTTAAGCATTCGTTTTTACTCATTCTGCTGAACACTTCCTCGGTGTTATCTCGACTCTTTTTTGCAAGTTGGATCTAAAGATGGGCGCCATATAATTCAATTCACATAAAAAACGTTTTCTAGGTCTTCAATCCTCTCATGTGACGCGATGTTCTATTTAGAATATTCTCAAATTTCTCTCTCTCTCTCTCTCTCTCTCTGATAGTATATAACAAATATGTTTAACATCCTCATAATAATGTAAAGTTGCACGTGACTGACTCGAAAGTGACTCGAGTCAGTTTATCAAGATTCTCGAGTCTTTCGTCTCGAGTCCGAGTTCGAGTTCGAGTCACAGAAAAATGTGAGTCGAGTCGACTCAAATCCGAGTCGTGACTCGGACTCGCCCATCTCTGCAGTCGAGCAGTGTTAGTTTCAATTTCTATTTTGCATGTATCAAGATTGCATTAAGAACTGAATACTTATATTGCTGAAGAAGTGTGTCAAGATATTGGTCTCTCTCTCTTAACAGCAAACGAGTTTCATAGACGAACGTTTACAACTTCTTTTTCAACTATTAAATCACAAACTGAATAATAAAATTACTACTTTTTTGTTTTTGAGTATAGAACAACAAGTGAAGAAGATAATGAGAATGAAGATGATGATAAAGAAGAAGACGAAGAAGGCGTCGTCGATGATGAAGATGAAAACTCGGCAGAAAAAAAGAAATTAACAATTAAAAAAATGGTGACAAATTCAATATTGGCTATTTTGAATCGATCGAATAAAAAGAAAGATATCGACAGTGAAGATATCACTGGTGATGAAGAAGGAAGCGATGAAGAAAACGAAGGTTCGAAATTAGATTCATATTTTAAAGAGAAAATAATAGGCTGAGCTAGTGGCACTTGCAAACAAATCAAGGAAGAAATTGCAATAGTTAGCGTCGCGTTGACTACTGAAAAGTGCTGCTAGAGCTGCATAATAAAAAAATGTTGTTTTCTTCATAGAACAGAAAGTATTTACAGATACATCATAGCTCAAGATCTTTTTCTCTTTTTACATGAAAGTACTTCTAATTTGTTTTAGCTGAAGATGTTGACGATGATACTGACGAAATTGAATCTTCCGATGCTGAAGATGAAGACGAATTGTCAGGCTCTGATTTGACGAAAATGTTAGACATGAACGGTGATGTAAGTAAAATTTTAAATCTTCTCTGATAAAATAATTCACAATGTTAAATTTCTTGTTTAACAATTAATGGTTATTTTAGCCTGGTTCAAGCAGCGGTTGTACAGCTGTTGTGACCATATTACGAGATAAACAATTGTATGTAGCGAATGCTGGTGACTCACGTTGCGTTGTATCACGTGATGGTAAAGCAATTGAAATGAGTACAGGTAATACACAATCTATCAACATTTTCACTTATCTTGTTTGATCGTTCGCAATATGGTTTTTTTTCCAGACCATAAACCCGAAGATCCAATCGAACGTGAACGAATAGAAAAAGCTGGCTATAAAGTTACTCTCGATGGACGAGTATCCGGTGGTTTAAATTTATCTCGTGCTATTGGTACGTAGTCATAACGGTTTCTTTTCTCTCCAAGTTTTATTATTTTTTTTTTTTGTCTCTCTAGGTGATCATGGGTATAAACGTACGGCAAATTTATCAGCTGAAGAACAAGCAATAACAGCTTATCCAGAAATAAAAACATTAACGCTTGAAGAAAAAGATGAGTTTATGGTTATTGCATGTGATGGAATATGGTAAATAGTTCTAAATCTCTACAGAATCGAGCTCGATGTGAACTAAACAAGTATCTATCTTATAGTATTTGTTTTTCTATTTATTTAGGAACTTTATGTCTAGTCAAGATGTTGTCGACTTTGTTCATAATCGTTTATCAAAATCAAGTCTAACACAAATTTGTGAAGATGTAAATTAATAATATTTTTCTACTAGAAATAAATAATAATGTTTTTTTTTTTCATTTGTCTTTTTAGTTATTCATGTATTGTCTTGCTCCAAATACAAGTGGCGACGGTAAGCATTTAATGATTTTATGTGAAGTAGAATAATTTCTTGATAATCTGTTTGCCAACATCATCCTACATCAAGATACTTTGAAAAAAGAAGTTATCCTCTTAGAGAATTCTCAATAGCAGCCCTTCACCCGAACTTTTTATATGCAACTGTAAATAAAAGCTTCCTACGTCTTTAATCAAATTCCTGCTTTTCAGTTAGAAATTCTTGCTCGTTATGTCATTATTAAACAGAGACCAGGTCGAAGAAGTTAAAAGATATTGATGTTCTAAGATGGACCAAAAAAATTGCTTTCGTTCATAAT